AACCCACCAGCAACTCTGCCTAAAAAACAAAAACAAAAACAAACCAATGTGGCCATCTGCTTCTGTGAGGAGTACGGTTTAGTAGTCCCTATGGGGAAATCCAGCTCTGTCAGATAGGGTCGCTGTGAGTCAGAATCGACTTGATGTTGTATAACAACAACTCTTAAGCAGCACAGTCCTTTGTAGGAACTTGGCAAAGCAGCTCAGAGGGGTGGAAGTCTATTAGACCATGTAATAGAAGTCATTCTGAGTTAGCAGGCTAGAGGGACTAGAAGTCAGGGAGCTAAGACAAAGGAAAGTTTTAACTAGAATTGAGAAATGATCAGAAACATGAAGTTGGATCAGATATGAGCAATTCAGGAGCAAATTCTGGTAGCTTTGTGTCCTTTGATATTACTTTTTGTGTGTATAACTGGTAGCTAAGGCGAGGGAACCGTTCTTAAAGGTGAAAGAACCTGACAAAAAAGATGACTGTGCAATTGTGGCAAATTAGCCTTGAAAAGGAGATGGGGGATTGCTTCTCTATGACAGGGACTTAGGTGTAAATGCTAGACAATTTCAGGAAATTTGAAGTAGCAAGGACATACACCTTCAATGAATAATCTTCTGACTAACTAGGATGCCCGCTACAATTGAGTCAATTCTGACTCCTAGTGACCCTGTGTAAAAACTTCCAAGACACGAAAACGTGATTGGAGTAGACAAGCTCATCTTTCTCCCAAGAGTAACTGGTATTTTTGAACTACCAGCCTTGTGGTTAGCAACACTGCGTCTAACCCATAGCACCATCAAGGAGTTCACTAAATATGAAAAGCGGTTATTTGAAGAGAAGAGGAACTAAGTGTGGGTTTTAGGATTTGAGGAGAATAGAGAAGATTTAGAATAATCTCTGAAGAGAATCAGCCAGATATACCGGTGCTAAAGCAGTTTGCCAGGCAATACTGGTGGATCAGTTGTAATTAGATAGCATACATTTGTCCTGAAACCAGTTGTAATCACTAAGTAACTTTCAGCAGTAATTCTTAGGCCATGGGGAGAACTATAAACCAAAGACATTGTGGTCTAGCATGACTGGGTTCCAGTAAGGCAAATGCATGTTAGGTCTGAGAATAGGCGTGAGTTGAATGAGAAATTTTCTTGTACAAATCTGAGTACAATTGAAATGACTAAACTCAAGGTATCTAATGGGTAAGAATGCAAACATTGTTTAAAGGAAGATGATAAACTAGAATGTTACTCAGTAACTAATTTATTCTGTGTGGCCACAGGAGAAAAAGTTAGAGATGGTTTGAGTGAACAAGAAGGACAGTTGAAAGGTCAGAAGATAGTAGCCAGAGGAGATTTTTTTCAGAGTAGAAGATTTTAGAAGCAGAACAAACACAGTTTGGATGAAGACAAGAGCAGTTGTGGCTGAGCTGCTGAGAAGCTGAAGTGAAGCCAGAGTGGGTGTTGAGTTAACAAAGATGTTGAAACTACTGAGGAGACGGAATGCATCCAAAGTAGGTAGAGAAGTTATCCATAAAATCTTCAAGAAAATTGGGAGACTATTTGGGTTCTGGATTGTTGCTGTTGTTGTTAAGTGCCATTGAGTTGGTCCCAGTATGTAGCGACCCTGCATAGGGTTTCCGAGAAGCCTCTGGTGAGTTTGAACCACCAACCATGCATTTCAAACCAACCTTGTGGTTGAGGGCTTATCCTACAGTACCGCATCAGGACTCCTAAGGTTCTGGATGTTTAGGGAGAATTTGATGTAACTGAGTGGTGATGCCTTAAAAGAAGAGGCCGGATATGATGGGGAATGGGAACAGAGGTCTGGAAGCATTTTGGAGCATATCATATTGTGCAAAAGCCAACATTTGGATTATATTGGAAAGGTGAATAAGCAATTGATATAAGGTAGTTAATTTCTATTAAGACAACCATTTTAGAGGTTATAGTAGATAATGTTGGATGGGGACAGAGGACATTGTGCTGGGCCCAGAAACATGGAAGTGAAGCTGGATTGTTGAAAGCAAATTTTGAGTTCAGGGACTAGGACAGTAATTAATTATACAGGGATTTAAGAACAATGATAATGAAAGGTGGAGGCACATGCTAATAGATATAAACTAGGAGAGAGTAAGTAGAAGTTTTGTAATTAGTAGACTATATGGAATTTAGTAGCCCCAGGTTTCTATTAAAACATTGGTATGCCCAACTGGAATGTCTGTTCGGAATGTAAATGGGACCAAGTGAAACAATGGTATAACCAACTGGAATGGTTTTTGGAACTTCAGTGTAATTAATTAGAAGCTTACCTTCATTAGCTCTAACAGTGGTGTGACCAGTTCTAGACTGGCAGTTAAAACAGCCAGAGGGATTTGGGACCAAAAATGAGATTAGAATAGCTTTCAAGAGAGGGAAATTCGGAGACAGTTTTGAGTCCTATCAGATCAGTTTCTCAGATGCTGGTCCGTGAACTAACTCCATGAATATCGTCTTTATATGCTATGTACGCAACAGAAACTGCATCTTTGTCATGTCCCAAGTCTTTAGCATCTGGTACATATTAAAAAAAAGGTATTTATTTAATAAAGGAATGAAGTTTGTCTCAGATTTCATTACTCTAAACCAGTTTTTTGTTTTTTTTATTTCATGATCCTTGATTGTGTAGTTACTCTTTTCTTTTCTTTACTTCAGGAGAAATATGAGGCTTTCTGCTCATGTAAAGATTTAAAGCCTCCAAGACTCTATACAGTGTCACTATGAGTTGGAACTGACTCAGCAGCACTGAACAGTAACAACTTCCTTAATTGGCTGCTGGGAAGGTTGCAAATAGATTTTGTTCATCTCTAGAGGTGTTGGTATGGGTTTTACATGAACTAAAACTCTTCCTTCAACTTCTTTACCTATACATTTTAATTTTGGTGATTCGCTTTTTAATTTGGGATATGTATGTCCATACTGTCCCAATCATTTTTGGAACAAAGCAGGTAAATGGAGGGGTGGAGAGGAAACAGAGAATTAGGTAGTAGAAGAGAAGACAGAAGTGTGAGCAGGGAGCATGGGATACTCATTTTAGGATACTCAAGTCACTCAAGACTCAGAGCTTTTTATGTCTGTGGGCCCTCATAGTCAGGGATGTGTAGGAGGACCTTCTTTTATGAAAAACAAAGCTTTAGCACCAGTATTTAGCAGATAGTATGTACTCAATGAAATCTTACAGATCTGTGCAGATATTCATGAACTCAAAAAATATTAGTTGACTTTTTTAGCATCTGTTTTAAATATCTCTTACTACTCTTGAACTTCTTCCTCTGTTTGGAGAACAATGAGATATATTATACAAAGGGAGTTTTGGAGTCAGACAAACCTGAATTCAAAAACTAACTCTGCTGCTGATTGTTCGTCCTTGGTCAAGAGATTCCCTTACCACCTCTGGACCTGTTTTCTCATCTGTCAAATTGTGATACTAACACTTCTGCCAAATCTCTGGGAGGATTGAGTAAGAGGATGTGTGTAGAGCACAGCAGTGTCTAGCACAGAGCCATTGTACCATATTCATCCAGCTGACGCCTCATGGCCAAATAGCTTACCGTTTTGCCCTGCAGGGCAGCTGCACTGTCCTCAAGCCTGACTCATGACTGTCTGGTTCAGGAAAAGCTGTCTTCCTTGATCTGGCACTCAGTGAGCTTGTTTTCCTTACTTGTTTGCCTCCCCAGTATTCAACTTCTCAGATCAGCAAATGGGCAGTGTAGCCTGACTTTCTGAGACTCTGGATGCATTGATTGAGGGTATAATGTATTCCAAGTTTAATCCAATACCCTATGTGGTTTAGTTTATGGTTTGAGGACAGTTCAGAAAACTTGAAATCAGAGCTGTGAATTAGAATGTTGAGCTTTCCATTCTTGTAGTGAGGCTAGGCTGCCCAAGGTGATTTAAAATGTTCAGACCATGGCAGGGTATTGTGTTCCTTAGATCTGCTGCATCTGCTCATCTGGGTTCTTGTTCTCCTGGATCCTCTTCTTGCTACGACCCGTGTGTGCAGTGTCAGTGACAGTCCCAGGTTTTTGTGTTTTAAGTGGCATTGCATTTTCTCAATGGAGAGATGTGGTGCACTTGGGCTTTGGGAAATGCTTTTGTTTTTTTATATCCTTCATACTTTTTAGGCATGTTGCCTATCACCTTTGCTTTTTGCCTAGTTCATACTTATTAAGTGTATTACTTATTAATGTCAGTCAGGTTTTGTTTAGGACCTGAGGCATCTGGTTTTTGTGATCCATTACAGCTTTAGTGATGATAGGACTCGTAATAATTTCCCCTGGTCTGTTCTCATAAACAAGACAGAGCAGTCTTCTTCTTTACATCATACGGTTGGCAAATGTCATTGAGATATAATGCAGGAGAAACAATCTCATAGGATAAAATTCCACTAGAATCATTGACTTTGGGAAATGCTCCTGACACTCTCTGGGCATCGGTTTTATGTTAGGAGCTGCCTCCTACGATTGTTTTGGTGAGGTCTTAGAAGGAGGTAGGTGGGCGATTGGGTTGAGCATTAATTGAGCCCAGGAGCTGGTCTAGAAACTTTGGTTTTATAACTGTATTGATAACATAAACTTGTTCCTACCCCACTCCCTTGGTTTCATTTTGTTTTAGTGAAGAAGATCTGCAACTTTGTCCTGAAATTAGAAATGGAAAAATTTAGTAATTTGAGAGTACCGGTTCATTTTTTTTTCTCTCTTTGGAAATGATTGATAATGGTTTACACAAGCAAATGGTTTTGAGAAATGAAGCTCACATTGTCTTTCAGAGCACAGTGTGTGGTGACAGGGACTGACTGTGTTAGCCTGATGTGACCCAGTATCCACCCAGATTCACCCTCACAGGCCTGTGGCTCCCATGCAGCAGTCTCTGTGTTGTCCAGTACAACTAGGAGATGCCTTATGTGTTCCAGAGAAGCTAGAGTTTTCCTTGTTGCCATGGTGGCTTATGATGCTGAGATCTGTTTTTGCTTACAGGAGCTGCTAAGTCGCACTTCCCTCGAGACTCAGAAGCTTGATTTGATGACTGAAGTGTCTGAGTTGAAGCTCAAACTGGTTGGCATGGAGAAGGAGCAGAAAGAGCAAGAGGAGAAGCAGAGCAAAGCAGAGGTAGGTGTGATATACCAAATCCTAGGGATGCCCATACGCTCCTAAGTTCTACGCTGGGATGGGGTATGCTAATGTTGACTCAGGCCATCAGGTCAACCCCAATCCTGGGAGCCATTGGGTGACATAAACAGCTGTACCCTAGAGGACATAATGATCTTTTAATACCAAACTGTCAGATTTTGCTGTTGCTGCAAATTTAACCAGTGCTGAAATCACCCACTTTTGGCTCTAAGGTTAATTCCCCCTCAAGCTGCTGTCAAGGGAGGAAAGAGAAGCAGTGGTGGGAAAGTTCAGACAGGATATAATGGGGTGTAAGATGTCTCCAGTGAGAGCCAAAGCTATGGCAAGGGAGTGTGATGAAGACAGCCTCCTAACACTGTATGGTCACGTTTTTTGATGTGTATGTGGATTTGCCTAACCCAAATGGATTCCTCAAGTGATGTTTCTTTTCTCCAGATTTCTCATATGGATGACTTCATGCGTAGGCCTTCTCTTAGAGAATGCTTATCCTATTTTTGGGCTCCATATCCTATTGATGAGCATGCCAGACTCCTTTTGGATAAATGTTTAGAGAAGTTTAAGCTCAGAGCACCTTTATTTGTGAGAGGGCAGCCTGTTTTAATCTTAGATAACCATCTTATATGTGCCTCCAACTATAATCACTACACTCATGCCAGGCAATATGAGATGTGGAAAGAAGATAGGCTTTAGGTTTAGAAACATGTTGGCTCAACTACTGACTTGTTTAATAGTGGTGTGACCATCAGCAAGTTAACTACTTAATCTCTCTGAACTTTAATCTCTTTATCTATAAAATGAGTAGCTATGTGGTAGAGACCAAATAAAATCATACACGTTAAGTACCTATCATAGTGTCAGACATTTTGTAGATACTCCTTTTATCTTAATATCCTTCCCCCATTTGTTGTTGTGTTAAGTCCCTTATAGTTGGTTCAGACACATAGAGACCCTATGCACAACAGAACGAAACACTGCTCAATTCTGCACCATCCTCACAATTGTTAAGCTTGAGACCATTGCTGCTGCCACTATGCCAGTCCATCTTGTTGGGGTCTTCCTCTTTTTCACTGACCCTCCACTTCACCAAGCATGATGTCCTTGTCCTGGGACTAATTCCTCCAAATAATATGTCTGTAGAATGAGAGAGGAAGTCTTGCCATCCTGGCTTTTAGAGAGTATTCTGGTTGTACTTCTTGCAGCACAAATTTGTTTGTTCTTCTGGTAATCCATGGTACTTTTAATAGTCTTCTCCAGTATCATAATTCAAATGTATCAATTCTTCTACAGTCTTTCTTATTCATTGTTCAACTTTCATATACATATGAGGCTATTGAAAATAATTTGGGTCAGGCGCACCTTGGTCCTCAAGCTGACATCTTTGCTGTAGAACAATTTTGAGAGGTCTTGTGCAGCAGTTTGCCTAATGCAATACATCGTTTGATTTCTTGACCACTGCTTCCATGAGTGTTGATGGCTGATCCAAGCAAAATGAAGTCTTTGACTGGGACACTCCTGCATTGCTGGTGGGACTGCAAAATGGTCCAGCCTCTCTGGAAAGCAATATGGCACTTCCTCAGAAGGTTGAAAATAGAAATACCATTAGATCCAGCAATTCCTCTACTTGGTATTTACCCACAAGAAATATGAGCCACAACATGGGAAGATATATGCACACCAATGTTCATAGCTGCACTATTTACAATAGCAAAAAGATGGAGTCAGCCAAAGTGCCCATCAACTGAAGAATGGATAAACAAGCTGTGGTACATACACATAATGGAGTACTATGCAACCTTGAAAAATAACAAGGAAGCTGCATGCCACTTCTAACATGGATGAACCTTAAGGACATTATGTTGAGTGAAATTAGTCAATCACAAAAGGAAAAATACCGCATAGGATCACTACTGTAAAAGACTAAGAAAAAGAACCCATACTAATCCACTAAAGTGGATTCTTAGCTGGTTGCTAAGACGTAGGGGTAGGGTTAAGGGCGGGACGGGAAGGAGGAGCACAGGGCAGGGAATAGACACAGGATAGTTTGGGTGTTGGGGAGGGGGGCAATATACAAGCAGGGAGAGGGGAATGGAAGAACAAAGCAGATGGGAGAACAATTAGACAGGTATGAATGGGCTAAATGGGACAGAGGTAAAGAATGATGTATGTACAACCTTGGAACAACAGGGCTCTGGGATACAGAGACTGGGGCATGGTTGGAATGGGGAAAAGGGGGGAATAATGTTAAGATGCTTGGCTGACTTTTGAACCTTGGTTTTCCATGTATTATATTATAAAACAGACACTGGAGGGGGAGAGAAAGGAATAGACAGAAATATCACCATAGAAAGCTTGTGAGTCTATCTTCTGCCTATAACTGATTGGAATACCTAAAATGGGGCTACAATGTGTCCAGTGAAAGAGGTTTCCTGAGGAGCCTCTGCAGTACCTGAACCACATCCAGACCTTCAGAAACGGGAAACTTTCCTCTTGAAAGGACAATCAGACTAGCTGGAGCAGCTAGAAAACCAGAAGACACTTCTTGAAAGAAAAACCTACAGGAAAAATACAAAACAATAAGGGCAGTCCAACTGTTACCACAAGAACAAGCAAGTTGCTTACCCAGGAGACATCAAGGCAAGTGGTTGGGTCCTCTCAGTGCAAATCCTCTTCCAAGACTAAGATGCAATGGAAATCCATGCTCTGATTGGCGACCACACACGTCACCCATAAGGAGAAGTGACCGAAGAACATCAGTGAAGCGGCGCGCTAAGCCCTGCATCGTTCAGCAGACTACTGTGAACCCGGGTGGAGACCTGGTTGGCCAGCAGCGAGGCAAGACCTGGGGACTCATGGCCTCAGAGTCATTGACTCAGCCACAGAGGACTGGAGTGGAGACCGAAGCAACCAGTGGATAAGAAGAGGGTGGACAGATGCAAGAACACCCACACTTGCAGATGATACCCACTTGACCTGGCTTCAGTGACTGGAGGAACAGAGCTCAACACAAAGAAGAAAAAAGAGGGAAAAAAAAGCTTCAGCTGATACAATTTGGTAAACTTGACCGACACCTATAAATGCAGTAGCTCAAAAGAGGAAACAAATCCCTGCCGCAAGAATTATTCCCACCCCCTCCACACAAAGAGTAGATAGGGATGGGCAACTTGAACATTGGCTACCCAAAATGGGGGGAAGGATACAAAGGTAAGAAGTGACTGGCTTACAAGCTTTCATGATGGAACCTAGATCGACAGGGCGAGGACAATGGTTGAGTCTCCAGTGAGTAGTATCCAACTTGTTTAGGAAGGGCTGATGAAAAGAAATGCAGATGGGTCTCTTGTGATGCAATAGTGAATAATTGTTATCAGGACTGATGGTGAGGACTGGAAATGTAAAGGTGGACATTTTATAGCAAGGAGGGGAGTGATTAACCTTTCAGTCTAAGAGCGGAGGGCCCTGGGACCATCAATGGAGAAGAGTGGAGAGCGGGACCCCACCCAGAGAAGCAGCGAGGCTTGAGATGGAGACAGAGATGATGACATGAAGAGATGGAGTAGCTGGGGACTTTGAGATCTGGAGAGAGAAAGGGGCTTTGTGCTGAGGACCGTGGAGGGTGGGGTAGCGGGATGGGGGGCAGGCCTGCAGGGTTTACCCTTTGGTTGGTTGATGATGCATTAACGGGATGGTAACTATGGCAATGAAACGATGTATGATAGAATGAATGTAAAACTAATGTTCCCCCATGTAAACTATCACACAATACACAATAAAACATTTATTTTAAAAAAAAAAAAATGAAGTATTTGACAACTTCAGTCTTTTTTATTTATCATGATGTCCAGTGGTGAAGATATTTGCTTTCTTTACATTGAGGTGCAACCCGTACCAAAAGCTGTGGTCTTTGATCTTCATCAGTAAGTATTTTAAGTCCTCTTCACTTTGAGCGAGCATGATTGTATTATCTGCACATTGCAGGTTGTTAATGAGTCTTCCTCCAATCCTGAAGCTACATTCTTCTTCATGTAATCCAGCTCCTTGGATTATTTGCTCAGCATACAGGCAGAATAAGTGTGGTGAAAGAATACAACCCTGGCACACACCTTCCTGATTTGAAACCATTCAGTGTCCCCTTGTTCTGTTCAAATGACTGCCTCTTGGTCTATGTACAGGTTCCTCATGAGCACAATTAAGTGTCATGGGATACACATTATTTGCAGTGTTGTCCATAACTTGTCATGATCCACACGATTGAAAGCCTTTGCATAGTCAATAAAGCACAGGTAAACATCTTTCTGGTGTTCTCTGCTTTCAGCCAAGATCCACCTGTCAGCAATGATATCCGTTATTCCCTGTCAGTGTACCATTGCAGAATTTTTAAAATTATCTCTAGCAAACTTTACTTGCATGTGATATTAATGATATTTTCTGATGATTTGCACTTTCCATTGGGTTACCTTTCTTTGGAATGGGCACAAATATGAATTTCTTCCAATCAGTTGGCCAGGTAGCTGTCTTCCAAATTTCTTGGCATAGATGAGTGAGTGCCTCCAGTGCTGCATTAGTTTGCTAAAGTATTTCTATTCATATTGCACCAATTCCCAGAGTCTTTGCCAGTGCCTTCAGTGCACGTTGGCTTTCTTCCTTCAATATTATTAGCTCCAGATCCTATCCTATGTTACCTTTTGAAATGGTTGAACATGGACCATTTCTTTTTAGCAACTCAATTTATTTCTTCCATCTTTTTTTGATAATTTCTGAATAATTCAATATTTTGTCCATGGAATTCTTCAATATTTCAAGTCAAGGCTTGAAGTTGTTTTTCAGTTCTTTCAGCTTGAGAAATGTGGAGTATGTTCTTCCCTTTTGTTTTTCCAACTCTTAGGTCTTGGCATGTTTCTTAATAATCCTTGGCATTGCCTTCTCGATCTGCCCTTTGAAATTCTCTGTTTAGCTCTTTCCCTTCCACATTTCTTTCATTTGCT